CGCACATCACCTCTGGAACATGATCTTTTCGTGGCGACTCCACAGGGGACCCCATGCAGACTTGCCTTGCCAACCCTTTTCCCAGGCCAACTGAACCCTACCTCAGATTTTAGCCCTACTTCTGAAACTACACAGGGTAAATCAAGAATAAGCTGCTTGGGTTGTTCCAGAGGCTTCAGAAGCTAGAGTTAGAATACACCAGATGAGTGATGAAGGCTTACCGTGGACCTCGAATTTGCAAAACGGCAGCTCAAAGAGGCTTCCAAACACAGAAAGGTCCCTAGATTGGGTTGCTGGTAGATTAAGAAGCCACGCTTCAGGACATAAATTAAATTACAAAATATTACAAACAGTACTGGCATTCCGACTTCTGGTAGCTTCCTTCACAGCAACCCAGTAGAACGGCGAAAGCTTGGTTAAGACCACTGCGAGGAAGCCCGCAGGAATTTGGGGGACCTCCCATGTAGTTGCTGGCTGGGCTTGTTGTACCCTAAACCCTAAACCCTATTTAACGAGACCAGGAATCTGGGACCCCAATATTGGTAATCACTCAAGCCTCTAGATCACTTGATGCTCGGGCTGGCACGGTGTGCGGATTATGGCTTCAAACAAGCAGACCCGCTTTCATTTCAGCAAGTCCAAGCCTCTGCAGAAACACCCAGCTTACTGGGCCTCGGCGGGGAATACCGGAATAAATTCTATAGGGATCATGTAGGGATTCTCTTCCCTTATTCCCCTACTAGGCCCCAGTAATCCACAATCGATTGCGAGTCTACCCAGAGCTTCTTGAAGGTCCAGAACGGCTGAGGTAGGAACCCTAAACTCTCAACCGTGACGTTAAACCCCTAACCAACTTTCCTCCGAACTCAGCAGCGAAATGCCGTCCCCTTTTCGCCGCTTTCCTGGATCTGAAAATCTTTCTGGCTGAAACATCAACCTTTTGCGTCTGCAGGGTTTCCGGGTGGCGTTCGCTTCGCCAAGTTGGGAATGGGGAACTGGATCCCTGTAGCAGTCTCTGGATTATCCACTGGCTAATTTCTCTAGTAAAGAGTTGAATTCAGATTGTTTTGAATTAGGCTGGGCGAATCTGGGCGGGCCACCCTCATGTTTATTACTCTCATTGTAATGATGACTCTCCATGAGGGTCCAGGTAGCCAAATTAAATTAGTGTATGGCTGCATCCTGCTTGGGTACTCAGCCCTTTGTCGACCCCCATATATCATTAGACTCATTCCCTCACACCAGATTCAAAGAGAAAGTGGTTCAGGGTTTAGGGTAGTGAACTTTTCAAAAAAAACTCCCAGGCCAAACGAGAGGAGTCGCAGGCTTCAAATTGGTATTTCCGTCCAACCCAAATTACTATCATCCTTGTCCTCTAGAACCCCAAAAAGGGTCCAAGATAGAGAGAGAGAGAGAGAGAGAGATATGCATCTCTGTATACCTCTCGTACGGACAAGCCCTGAAACCAAGATTGGAGCTGATTGGGTCTCAGGGTAAAAGCTGCGCGGCTCAAGGTTTAGAGCTTGGCGCTCTGGATCCACCCTTCATCGCCCCTCCCCACAAAAATGCAGGGGGATAATCTTGAGCAACTTGCGTTTGGTGGCGCGTTTAGTAGGCAGAATGGATAAGCCTGCTAAGCTGACGGATTCCGATCTTTCGCAATAATCAGTCGAGGCCGTTTGAATGGGGCTAAGTGATCAGAATCTTGCAACTTCTATTAGAGATGAGTAGCTGTAGCTGGCGTTGCTTCTGCTTCGTGAACTAATGTTTTGACTGTGGCCTTTACAGCAGTGAAACAGGCCGCCCTATTAGGCAGCGCCAAGTACATTTGCGAATCATTCTTTGCACTCAGGAACTGGTCGGCAGAACTGCGGCGCAGCGCTTATGGGTTGGGAGCCCAATGTGAAGTCCAATGGTTCAAGATCTGCCAGGTTCAGCTTTTCTCATATGAGCTCTAGTCTAAACTCCTTGTATCCCCCTGAATAAGCCCTATAGTAGTCCCCTATATAACCCCCGATATAACCCCCGTTTAAGGAGTTTAGACTATAGCTCATATTGAATTCCATATTACCTGTACAGGCTGAAGGTCAATACTGGACATGTGAGTACTTTTTATCCCCTCACTGCAATCGCACAACGTTGATGAAGGGAATGGGCGCAAACGAACTACCTCAACCCGCCATTGTGGACAGGAGAATTTTTTCAAAGTCGTTCCAGTCCCCCAATGCCCCTTTCCATTCGCAAGCGGCCTGAAGTGGGGAACCGGCGACCCAACCATGTGGGTTGCATAAACACCTCAGAGCCACCTTGCAAGGTATTGTGTTCTGATTTCATGTCACTCCTATTCGGCTTTCCCCATCAAGAAACATGGCAAAGCAACCCCGTCTGGCCGTGGCGGCCAACAGGCATTTCTTACGGATGATTCGCAAAATCCTGTACGTCCCTAAGCACCCTAAATCGTGAGAATTCTGGAGCTAGTATTCATGCAGCATTTTTGGCAACAACCGCATTCTTGCAAAGTCAACAAGAGGGAAAGCCTTTTTTGGCGAAACTCCACCTCAATATTCAACACCGCTGTCGTTTGAATGTTAGATATTCCCCGGAATGGACCTCACCCACCCACATGTTTCATATTAGGGGCGGCGGGGTGCGGCAACACTATTATGATTAGCACTACTACTACTACTACTACTACTTCTTCTTTGCTTCACATGGTCACATGAAGTTGGGGCCCCAGGCCCAAATCCCTTAACCCTAGTCGCTAAACCCAACCTCAAGCCTAATCCCTAAACGCCAGCTTAAATCCTAAGGCCTAAACCCTTCACACAGCCTAAAGCCGAAGCTGTAAACACTGAACCCAACTGGGGCTTGGGCTAAATTATCGTTCCCAGAAATGAAGGAAAATTATACAAAGCCCCGAATTGTTGAAAAGAGTGTAGGGAAACCCCCGAACTAGAAGGCATCACGGCTGAAACGTATTATTACAACCAATGTAGGGTAAACCCTAAACCCTAAACCCCTAAACCCTAAACCCTAAACCGCTAAACCCCACCTGCCAAGCTTCCCCGTGGCCTTGATGGGAAGGCGCCTAAGATCGGTAACATTTTTTGTTTGGTCAGCGGGGCTTTTGGGGTTTAAGAATTGAGGATTCAGGGCTGATAGGTTTAGGGGATTTAGGATTCAGGGTTTATAGCCTCAGGGGATTTAGGGTTTAGGCGTTTTGGTTTAGGCATTCAGGCGGGGTTAATCGGTTAGGGTTTTGGTCACCCTAGCCTTGGGACTCCATTGGGGATAATGAAGGAATTGCTTTGAGACACCCTCTTCCGCCTCTTGATCATGAAAGCCCCGGAAAGCCAAAGCTCTCAACCATGCAGCCTATATGGGAACTTACCAAAATTGGGGGTACCCTTTTGGGGGTCCCTATAATAAGGACTACAGTATATTGGGGTCTATATTGGGGTCCCCAAATTTTTGGGAAACTACCATGTAAAGGGACTTTAATGGGAATAGAGTAGGAGCATAAGAGGAACATGCCTACCAGCGTGTTCATATTCTATTATATTCCTACTACATTCTTGGGGTTCCCTGTTTGGGGTTAAAGTCCCTTGACTATAGATGCGAGCTTCCAAAACTAGGGGCTCCATTTTGGGGACCCTTCTGCCATAAATTTGACCAGGTCTTGCGGCCCTAACCCCTGATCTGATCCCAATTTTGGAAACTACTGAGCGCTACCTACATTGGGCCTTAAAATCTATACATGAAGGCTATTTGGACCTCTAGACCCTATACCCTGAAGAGAAACTAGAGCCCTCAACCCGTCGTACTGTAAGAAATACTCGCACCTTCATATAAAAGAAATACCCTGCCCACACCCGTACTATCGTATAGTCTCCAAAGGAGACTTCACATACTGGGTGACATACTTAAAATCAGCTGTGGAGTGTTTCATATAAGTATGAAGAGATTGCTGTTCCTGAGAACCCTCAACTTTTTTTGAAAAAAGCTGTTAGATTGCAACACCTACCCTCAAGTCCTCAAGCCTCACCTGAAGCACCAAGCCTCGACCCCCCAGACCTGAAACTCCGAATAGGGAGATGTGGGGCTAAATAAGGATATGGGGCATGGAATGGTACACACACATATATATATATAGATATACGTACGGCATATGGGTACATGGGTACGTTAGGGGAAAGCGTTTGGGGCTTTTTCACGGCGGTTCCCCAAAATTCGAGGGTTCCAGTGTCGTACCCCCAAGTAAGTTCGAGCCTCGAATAAAAGCTTCCCCAATATGGCGTTATGTGGCCTGAATAGAAACACATCTGGTCGCCTATGGTGCAGGGTACCACCCCGGCACATGTAAGGAGAATAGCAACTTGATCTGGCTCCTTTTTAAGTTGTGGTTTGTATAGGAATTACTTCGGGACACTCCTAAACTTCAAGCACACATCCCAATAGGTCCTGGGGCTTAGGACAGGATCCTGAACCCACTGAACCCTAAGCCCTGATTAGGGTTTTGGGTTTAGAGCTGACCCTAGACCCCAAGCCCCAAACTCGAAATGCCTGTTTTGCTGGCTTCTGACAGCAGTGTGCACGCGCACCAGGTTCAAACGCCAAAAAAGACCGAGCCAACAGCGGTGGGACTTTGAAGGTTCTGCGGTCTAGGGTTTAGGGTACTTGGACCCCCGAAATACCCATCGTACTCGCCTAGATACGCATGATTTGAGGACTGGAGGATATGATTGTAGGTATTCGGATTAGTCTGGATATCGATATCAGCATTAACTTGACTTTTAAAGTGTAGTCTAACTAAATCAAAATCCAGCCTCATTCTGGGTATTAGGGAGGTCTAGGTAGGTTTTGGCGAAGGGCTATTCTGGATGACTTGAAGTATAGAATCTTTGTGAACGACCGGCTTAGTGTATCAACAGTTGCCAAGGTCCCCCTCAATTAGAAGGATCTTCGGCAGAAGGCATATTTGGAACTGCTCGAGGCTTGGCTCAGGTTGAGAAAACGGAGATGGAGTCTGCAGTGCTCTGCTCGTCAATTACGATTTCTGGCACCCCTTCTTCGAAGGATGGCTCTGAATCGTCGGACTTAGCAGACTGTACATATCCTGCAGGTCCATCTGAAAAGCGGGTAAGCAACACGTGCAACCCAGTCCACAGCAGAAAGGGTATCAGGGGCAGCAAACTGTCCTTAGCAAAATCGAATCTCTTCCCTCCCCCAAAACTAACATGGAACCCTGAAAGGGAGTCGTTGAAAACTTCAAAAAAAAGTGCATTTGGGCCATGGAGATTGCCAGACGGCGTGGGTCTTCAAGATCAAAAGAAGCTACCAAACCCTGTGCCGCGGTTGGGGCCCCCGCCAGTAAGAGCGACCACAACTGAATATTTCCTACCATGTCACAATTATTAGGGGGCTTAACCTAACCTCTACACCCAACCCCTAGGCTACAAGTCTATCAACCCAACCCCCGGAAACCGCAAAGCTAAGCCAAGCCCTAAACCCTAAACCCCAAACCCCAAACCCTAAACCCTAAACCCTGTACATCCCAGAGTCATGGTCCGTGAGAGACATCACGATTTGGAAGCTGAACCATTCGATGCCCATGGGGATGCAGGCAGGAATCCTCGGGGAGGGTGAAGGGTTTAGGGCTTAGGGCTCCATCCAACATGTGGGGGCCCCCTAGGGCCAAGGAATATTCAGGGGCTTCATGGGCATTATGGGGGGGGGGTCCTTATTCAGGATTATAGTGGGGGTACGGGGTACTCTGCCATATTGCAATACTGTCAAAGATCAGGGGCTTCAAAGTTACTGGCTGTGCCTCCATCTACCTATACCTAAGTGGCAAGTAGGTCGAATCCTTAAGCTGCATGTAACTGGGGTTACTGGTTCCTTTTACAGCCCACAACTTTATATTTCTAGTTGCGAGTCATGTCATAAAAAGAACAAACTATTACTCAACAATGACCCAGTTTGGAGCTACAGTTCGTTCTGTGCCCTCAACCCTAAGCTCAGTCCGTACACTGAAGCCTTAGGAAGAACAAGGATCCTTTTCGAAGTGGCATCCTTACAGGCAAAACTTCCTAAAAACAGCTCAGCATCCATAGAACAGCTGCGCAGCCCACACGCGAGATGTGCTGCACCCATGGTGATGCGTAGTGCAGAACGTACAAGCTGACCTGAACCCTAAACCCTAAACCCTAAATTGTACCAGCTGAGGGTCCGACAGGCTTGGGCCTAAGGGCAACTACCCCAAGCTGGCAAAACCGGTTTAGGGTTTAGGGTTGGAACCCCGTATAGCCCCCCCTATAACAAGAGGTGTCAGAAGTCTACATAGGCACTTTCTGGGGTCCATGCTGGTTTCAGGGTTCGTGCGATTTGTTAGGGCATAATGTCGGACGCCAAGGCTTAATGCAAAACAGTACTGGCAATGTGTTTACACCATAGCAACAACAGCAACTACAATAGTAGTCATGGAACTAGCAGTAGTAATGATGACAAGCAATAATAAACTCATAATTACTAGTATGGATGTTGGCAACTCCAACCTGAACCCACGAGAAGGTAATCAACAGGCTGAAGAGGAAGTCCTGAGTTGCGAGAGGGTTCAGGTTTGGGGTTGGGCTTCACATATAAGGGAACGGGGCACTGCAACAGTTGAAATGGGTTTGGGGTTTAGGGGTTTAGGGTTTAGGGCCTGCTGTGTCGTCTAGGACTCCTTGCGTACCACTACCTCTTGCGATGTCTTCTTTCCCAGACCCCCTAAGGGATCTAAACAAAATGGAACCTCCCAATAACCCCCTAGTTTCCCCAATTTAGTAATGCTGGTCATTTTTGGGGCTCCATTTTTTGGATCCTTAAACCCCAAGCCATGGGGTTCCATTGTTTGGATCCTTTAGGGGGTCTGGGTCAGTAGTTTCCATGTTCTTTTCCATTATCCCAGTTTAACCCAATAAATACCCTATAATTCCTGTATAAACCCTAATCCTTTTCATGCCTGTAGTTTCCATTTTCTTGTCCATTATATCTATATAACCCCTAGTGACCCCATACAATCACTATAAACCCCTATTAAACCCTATATAATCCATCCCTATAAACCCACTGACTGCAACCCCAAACAGAGGCGAGGCAAGGAGTACCATGTTTTTTTGTGGGGGTAATATTGGGAGAATATGCGGTAATATAGGGGTTTAGGGTTTAGGATTTACTAGGGTTTAGGATTTAGGGTTGAGGGTTTTGGATGTAAAGTTTAGGGGTTTAGGGTTCGGGTTAGGATGGGCTCTGCCATAAGAGTGCTCCCTCTGAAACGAGTATTTTCTAACCATCGTATCTCAGCACTGACCCAAAATTTCAGACTCCCGCAAAACTGGCCTCTGCTTAGCCAGGGATGGAGGAATGGATCCTTACAGCAGTCCCTGTATAAGCCATTGTACTAGTTTCCATGTTTGTTCCATTCCTTATTCCCCAGCTTACCAAAGGAAAGACCATTCGGAAGCCCACGCCATCAAAACCTGCATCCCAGAGTCCATGCACACGCGCGAGGCCCTAACAAACGATCCCCAATCCGTCATTGCTGACGGCGGTCCGGCAGCGACCGTCAGTATGGTTCGACTTAAGCCTGGAAACTACTCTGCGTGGCCCTTAGCCCTAAACCCTTGGTCCTAAATGGGAGTGTCTCAAACCCAGGGCTACCAAGTGTTCAAACAGGATTATGCGGGGGGGCTAGGGTTTAGGTTTAGGGTGGGCGGGGGGTCCTTGATTGTCATATGGGGACTGTTTTGAGACATACCAAAAATACTTTGTGAGGCCGTAAACGACGTACACTCCTCCCTACCATCCCATGCCAGAATATCAGGATTAATACAATCCCTTATTAGGGGTCTGCTGGGGTATTTCCATGAAAAAGCTTACGCCGAGGTTCTACTGTAGAAGGATGACATTCCGCGGGATCTAAGTCTACTAAACTTCTGCAATTCATAACATTTTGGCTGGTGAGTGCCATCCAGACCTTGTTCCATGAGCGCTCATAATTAGGTTAAAAGTACACGTATAATTCGGTTAGAACTCCCCTGAACCTCCCAGTTCCTCTTCTCGAAGCGACCCAAAATACTAGACCCATCCCATGGCCTGGCACTGTAGAGGAGCAAACCATGCCTGGCTCTGGGCTTAGGGTTCAGGGTAGCATTTCGTGTTGTTTTGGGCTGAAAAAAGAATCCTTGCGCTGGGATTTCGGTGCCCTGCTATGGGATTTATATGGATGGGAAAAGGGATTGCGGTCAGAAATTTCGCAAGAAATACAGCAGTAAGGGAGCCTCATAGAATGCAGAACCATACTTAAATTCAGAAACGCCGACGATCTCCCTGAGCCCTCCTTTTCTCTTTTTTTGTTCCTGTTATCCTCAAAAGGGACACCATAAATGGAGTCCGCTCAGGGCTTCCATTAGTTAAGGATGAGGGCTCCGGATTTGGGATTTTGCGTGCAGGCTTCGTTCAGAGCGGCATGACATGCATAGAAAGCTCTAGGTTTATAGGTTTCTGAATCTACCTTCCAGTCCCCTTCGCAATTATTATGATGAGATCCCCATATACCCCACATTCTATCTACTTAAAGGGGATTATAACTCACTCCTTTAGTGGAATAAGGATTTTTTTGGAAGGTCCCTGAGAATGGTTGGAGAAGCATGGCCCGCTCCTGAGAAACATGAAACTTCCCGAGACAACTGCTGGAAACAGCCTACCAGGCCCCACGCAATCCAGGATGGCTCTTCGTAGCTTTCGCGGAAGACTAGTTCATATCTGAAGAAATTCTGTGCACAGCGCCGGCCATGCGCTTGAAGCCGGGGCTCCACATGGTGGACCAAAGCTGTACTGTCAATTTCATTACAAGCAAGAGACAAACGAGAAGCTCCAACAGAAGCGTGTACTCCGAAGTCAGCAAAGGCAAAACCTGACCCCAAAAAGAACTTAGGTGATCCCACCGCAGTGGATGATGGGAATCTGTAGGGGCCTTACTTATATGATTTATGACTACTGCCATTGCTTGTGGTCATTTGTGGGCAGGGTAGCTCCTTCTTACCTGGAGCTCTCAATCCTCGTCCACAGCAAAACCAAACTCAGGGAGGCCAACGCATTTCAGGCCCTGAAAACTTCAAGAAGTATTAATGTTATTAAGATTATTATTAGGTTTTTTGTTGTTATTATTATTGGGCGCCACCACCGAACCTCTGCAAGTGATGCAGCGGAGATACAAATCGTGTACCGGATCGGGAGCCATCCTCTACCAAGGCTCCGAAGAACAGTGGGCGCAAATCGTTCCTTCGCTGTGCTACGGCAGTATGCTTTCTTAAGTGCGCCGACCTCCTGGGGAAATTCCCAGAGCCCAATAACGTCTCCCTGAAAAAGCTGAGGGCCCACCCAAAGAAGAGACCCGCAATCCGTATAACCTATCCTATACCATTGTTATTCTTATTGCTATTATTAATACTACTAGTATGGCTATTGCTAGTATTCTGACTAATACCAAATGTCTACATCGTTCAGCCCAAGCCGCTGGGGCAATCTAACTTCATTAACCTGAGGCCCCGAGAATCCTCAGCCCTAAACCATGACAATCTTAAGGGTTTAGGGTTTAGGGTTTAAGGTTTAGGGTTTAGGGTTTAGGGTTTAAGGAAACCCCACAAGCTGCAAACTGAGATCCAAAGCATTCACGATATGGCGGGCTCCTAAAAGTATGAGTACGTTTTCAGGAGCCCTCATAAGGATTGTTGCATTTTGGTGTCGATACTGGAGTGCCCCTATTTCAGGAAACTGCCAGATGGTTGTAGTCCCTATGTTGTGAAGACCTCTTTGATCCCTACAGAGCCCTGCTGATTGAGCTAAAAGCCTCATCTGCACAGACTCCCTCTATCGACAAGCCTCAACCTTTGGCGTCCTGCCATTTCCCCTTTGGAGCAACCTAGCGAGGAGCCTGTTACAAGGGTAGCGGGCTTAGACTAATGAGGGTTGCTGTCAAAGAAGTTAAACTAAGTTACTACAATAAGGAAACCCTCTTACTTACTACATACCTATATCATGGTAGCTTCAAGTCAGCTCCTTAACAGAAATCCAAAAGCGGGCTTAGATGTGGCTGCGCCAGCCATCCCCGAAACCTAAACAGACCCTGAAACCTTTGCAGCTGTGCAGCCTTTACTTGCTTGTCAAACAAGTGCAGATGCTCTTCGGCTTCCCCGTGGGGGTTGCCGTACCTCAGTGCAAGTGTTCAAGGTTGCTGGGTAATGTTGGGGGTCAGCTTTGAAAATGGTTACCGATCTCTCAACCCGGCGTCCTTGACTCCTACCAGTCTCGCTCTGCGGTTTCGCGGGGCTTTCTACTGCGTACACGTAGTCAAGACACACCCCCACCTCCTAACAATAATTGAGCTACAAAAGTAAGCGGAGATAAAGCCAATGCGCAACTAGTTTCTATATAAACCACCAAGCGGGACCAGATCTTAACTACCAGTCCGGTAAGGACCTGAACAAAAACTTCGTGGTGGTAAGTAAGGGACGAAGGAAATGAAACTGAGAGATTGTGATGCGGCATGGTATAGGCACCAGAACACATGGAGAGTGCCAATCAGGATTGGAGTTTTGGAGACGGGAGGCAGCGTGGAAACTACCATATCGCTTGAGATGAAATATGGACAACTATTACTATCCATTCCTCCACTTTCCATCACTTAAACCTCACTACATATCTCTGCAATCCTGGATTTCATACATCTTTCCGTATATTCTCTGTGATTTTTCAGTTCCTACTACCACCTAACCACCAAATCCCTAAACTACCCTAAACCCGAAACCCTAAACCTAAGCCCTACAACCATGGGAAAGCCCAGGTTGCCATCTCTGGAGCTGTCCGAAGATCAACTCCCGATCGCAGGGAATGGCTTCGCCAGTATGCGGATGCCTGCAACCCTATGTCCCTCAAACTATTTGAAGAATATAGTAGAATCTAGCAGAGTAGAATATAGCAGAATATAGTATAATGTAGGGTTACCTTCACAGGGGTTTGTTGGAGATATATAGGGGAAGTATCGGGTTTAGGGTGTAGGGTTTCCAAAACTTAGAAGTAGCTTGAAAAGAGGCTTATAGGGGATATATAGGGATTATGTAGGGTTTTCGGGATTAGGCTTCAAAATTTCGGGGTACGATTTTGGCAGTCCCCATAATAAGGGTATATAAGGGTGGTAGTAGATTGGAATCTATATTGGGATCTCCCCATGTGTGGAAACTACCTCAGGGCTCAGGGTTTAGGATAGTGGAGAACCAAATGAGCTATAGTCTAAACTCCTAGTATCCCCCTTAATATCCCCTATAGCAGTTCCCTATAGAATCCCCTATATAACCCCCCATTAAGGAGTTTAGACTATGGCTCAAACAGCCAGACCTAAACCTCGGTAGTTGGGTCTATCCAAATTGAATAGTGTTTTTTTTGGTGGTTGAACCTAGTAAGATAATATTCCTTATATAAAATACTGTACCTCAAAAGGAGGATAGAATCTTACTCTATAATGGGTACCATAGTATCCCCAAATAAAATACTACTCAATTGGGGAGCCCCTTCGAGACCCCAGGGACAGGTAGACATTGCGAGGGGAATCTAGCGGTCATATGGATTTTTGAGGACAGCACCTATTTGCTTAGACACTTGGGCAGGCGCTTTTCAAGCTTGCTTGTTGCCTTCGAAGTCAGGCCCGCCAATGTGCTGGATGGGCTTTCGTGGATTTCGCAAGGCTTCACAAGTCACAGAATGGGCGCTACCATTGTAACCATGCCTTCCCACGAAAAGTGAGCTAAAGTGATGTATGGTCGAGACGGCCCTGAAAAAAGAAATAACTGCGTTCCTACAGTACCCTAAGCCCTAAACCCTAAAATCCTAAACCCTAAATCCCTATACTATACCGCTTTCAGCCATCTTAAAAACCTATTCGTGGTGCCATCCAGCCCCAGCGAACGCCCATCAACGTCAAAATTCAAACCCCCTCATGTAGCACACAAAAACATGTCCATCCACTTCAGGGTTGCTGCAGAGGTCATATTACTTCTCACTATACCTTGGTGTCTTCTACTTACCAGGAAGAAATCAATTCCGCGACCCAAAAAAAGAACAACAAAACCTACGCAGAGCCCACTCCAAACCATCACGCACCCATAACTGTTGGAGGATACACCGGGTGCTCAAACACAATGCACGAATTGCCGAAGAGCGCCTGAATCCTTAACCCCAAGCTCCAACAAGTGTCACGCCTGTGATCATTGGAGCAGCAGAAGCACCTTTGATTGCGGCTACGGTTCAGGGTTCAGGCTGCTGGGCTTAGACGTCAGCTTCGAGCTCCAGTCAAAGCAGCGCCAGTTACGGATCAATTGCTTGGCTCATAGACCCAGGAGTTTACCCGCTGCTATTTCCGTAGGAGTCAGCTCAGACGGGACAAGCCAAATGGTAAGCACATTGTCTAGGTGCTTCTCTGCACCAACAGGGTACCAGTGTTGAATCAAACTCCGTATACTTCTGTGGTTGGTTGGCGCTTTTGTGAGCGCCCTTCAATACAAGGTCTGAATGCTCTACAATATAGAGGCGGAGACACCAGCTATCTTCAGGATAAGCACGAAGCCATGTACCCTATTTAAACAGTGAATCCTTAGAGGTTTGGGGTAGAGTAAACGGAGAACCATGGGCAAGCCATGCGCCCCCTCCATATCCTTTGCTAGGTGCAGAAACTGATGGCAGGTCATGCCTGCTAAGCTTCAGCCGACCCGAGTATCATTCCAAATCCCTCCACAAGCTCTGTCAGATTGCAGGGTTATCCCCCAATAATGGAGAATCAAATGGAAAAGAAAATGGAAAATGAAGAGGATACTACAGCTTCAAGGTTAGTTAGCTGCCAAGAACTGCTATGCATGCAGCCATCTGCAGTCTCACTTGGGGACACCTAGATCAACAGACAGCAGTATAGGAACTGTAACTAATTGTAACTAAATATGAAGAGCTCTTATCTGATGACCATGAACCCTTTTGGTCGCCCCTTGTAGCATTTGAATTCCTACATGTCTGCAACTACAATGTTCATCAACAAGCCCGCTGATCCACGACCCGAAGCCCTTAATCCTCAGCCCGCACCTCGTTCCAAACGCATGAGACTCTCCTTTGTGATGTGAACCCCAATCTGAATCCTCCAATATTCTTCCCTTCTGGGTTTGGTGTAGCTCTTTGGTTGGGATTCTCACTGGAAACCCCCACACAAGGTGCCACATTGGAGGGTCTAGGCAAACCAAAAGCCCCAAAGTGCGGACTCCACACAAGTCCTGTAAGTGTATTACCCTAAACCCTAAACCCTGTCACTATCTATCGGGCTTTTGGGATTCACGCTTGGGAGATTACAGGGAAATTGCCGTGTCATTTGCTATTACACACTGTATAATTAAGGATGGTTGACACATCCATACATAGCCAAGCCGATCCACTGGGCACGCTTTACGCTGAAGTTGGACAGCTGGTTTGGCAACTCTTGAAGATCCTCCCAGCGTTTAGGTTTACTGTGAGGCCTCTGAGTGGTGTCGAGCTTCGGGTTCAGGTCATGAATCTAAGTGTAAAAGCGTCAAAGGTCAGTCTTTTGGGGCTTACATCCTTGAACGCTACCACTGCATCGGAGAAAATGGAAGTTATCAAGCAAGTGCCCATTGGGCGGCTGGAGGGGACCCTTTTGTTGTGAAGCCAACTTGAAGGATTGCCTGCGTGTGGAAAACAGGACCGGCCTTTTCTGACAGTTCTTGCAAGGCTCCGACTCAAGCAATAACATACCCACAATAACCTCCCCCACCCGCGTAGCAAGGGATTCCTTCTAAACCTCAACCGCTCAACTCCATTCATTTGGGGACCAAATCAGCTTCATCACAAACACAGATGCCTTGAATTTCTTTAACTGCAGCTGGCTTGGCACCCCCCCAAACCCTAAACCCTAAAACGTGGCACATGAGGCTTGCATAACTCTGACCTCCTAAACTCAGAACCTGCCTTAACGCAACAATCTTGAAAACACACAAGAGCGGCCCCTGTGGAACCCTAAGGCAGAATCAACGCCCCTTGCTGGATCCTGATGGGATTAATGTGACAAAATCCCGTGCGGCTTTGATGTACAGACCCCGAAGACCAGCTCTACCATAGGGTTGGGCATTTGATTGAACCGTACACCCTATTGACTCTTGTTATTTTGGCAAAGTGTTAAGAGGTCCTAGCCCAAACACGACTTCCCTTCAAAAAGCAAAGTCCATACGATCTGCGTACCATATCTAGAGCCCCTTTGGCAAGGTCTACAAAGTCCCTATAGCCCCTTGTACATGGCAACCTATGTTCCAGAAAATGCTGATAAAGAACCTCTAAAAGGCCACTAGGTAAACCCTAAAATTCACCAGGAACTCCTCCGACCTCACAAATTAGTGATCCGCAATCCTGCCTTTTCACTCCCGAATGTTTATTTGAAATTCTCATGACTTACCCTAGGGATCCAAATAGCCCAATGTAGGTAATATTTCTGTACATGGATCCCTAGGGTTATCAATGCTCCATAAACCCTCAAACCTCCATCTCCTCCCCGTTCCGTGCCTCCATCAGACCCAAGCCGAAGTAGAAGGTCAAGGGGACAGTCAGGGCCAACACCGGTGCGAAGGACAAGAACATCGTCACATTCGACAAGCTGCTGTCCCCCTGAAGGATGAAGGTTTAGGTTTAGGCTTTAGGGTTTAGATGGGGGATTCCGAAACTGAGGGTACCTTTAAAAGGGATATAAGGGGATTCTATAGGGTTTAGGGTTTAGGGTTTCCCCAAATTTCCTCATCATAAGGACTATAATATTTTGGGATCTCGGGGTCCCCAAATTAGGGAAACTACCAGGTTTAGGGTTGACCGTATGTCAGGGCATCATGTAGCGGCTCCAAAAATCGGACCAGGTGTTCGGTTGGTTAGTTACTTAAGCCATGCAGTTTAGGCTTTATGGTTTACTTAAACCACGTAAAGACCACAAGAGGGCGCAACCTTCCTATTCCTGAAGTTTTCGCAAGAAGTTGGTTTATGCCACAATGATGCCAGAACCTGTTGAAACTCGTTCGGCCTTTGGGCAATATGAGATCTAGCCATACCGTCTACACAAAATGAAGCCCTAAAACCTAAACCCTAGCTGGTAGCTTCCCAAAATGGGGGGAACCTAATATAGACCCAAATATACCGTAATGCTTGTTATAGGGACCCCAGAAAGGTACCCTTGAATTTGGGAAACCCCCATCTAATCCCCTCTATAACCCCTACGTAAGGAGTTTAGACTATAGCTCGTCTCAATTTTACGCTGCTTTGAAGCACTGATCTCCAGGAGTTGAATAGGCAAGCTGCTGTGAGCCCCCCTCTCCCATCTCTCTCCAAGAGTTGCAATGAAATTTGAGCTGGCGTGTAGTTCCATGTATGAAGGCTTGGAAACAGTCCAAGTCTAGAAGAGTCTAGACCAACACGCGTATGACACAGACTTTGAGTTGAATTCGGTCTGAAGCAAGTCATTGGCTGCGACTGACATCTGAAAGCCAAGTGCGGCGCAGAATCCAATTCTTAGTCTTAGCTCCTACGACGGAAATCGATGCCGGGCCTGCGCACTACACTGAAGTCCACTTAGATGCCATCTAAATGTCGGTACATGCTGGTGCCAAATATCTACACAAGCAACTTCAATTCTGAATGAATACGAGCTTGACAGCCAAGTTCCTTGTTCAAGCTAAGTATGTATTAGGAGGACCCCCCCACCCTGTAATAGCAGTATAGTAGGAATATAAGAGGACCCTAATATGATCCTTGCTATTCATTATAGTCACTATTACTGGGTGGGGGGTTCCACCTAAACCCTAAACCCTAAACCCTGATCCCCAAACCCTAAGCCCTAAACCCTAAACCCCTAAACCCTAAAAACCTTGGACCGTATGTATCCCAATAGCAAAAACAGGACCTTCTGGAAAGTGGTCTCTTACCTCTCGCCAGGAGAGATATGCTTTCCTGCATGAGAGCTTAGGATCCCCTAGCCCCAGCTCAGGGTTTAGGGTTTGGGGTTTGGGGTTTAGGGTTTAGGGGTTAGGGTTTGAACTCCCTTGAAAAGAAGGCCCTCGTAGTTGCCTCTTTACCATAGCCGCAAAACCCTAAAATCCAGTCTTGTCATGAGTTACGCCTTTTTGAGGAACCTGCTACTTGAAGCTGAATCTGACGAGGCTCGTTGCTGGAAGACATGCCATGGGCCAGCCAATACCAGAACCTCAGGGCTTAGGGTTTATAGTCCCCCTTAAGTAGATAGAATATGGCTTTGGGACTATAGCCCTAAACCCCACAGCCCTGAGCCATTAGGGGGCGGAGTTCTCAGAAAGTTGAGCTCGGTGGACCCTAGGGACTCAGGGAAACTATAAGGGTTTTGGGATATAGGGATTGTAAATCTTAGGCCAAATCATAGGCAAAGTTCGAGGAATCCTTTAGTTCCGCGTTGAAGGTTTAGGGCTTTCCGTGTTTTCGGGAAAGCTTAGGGGCTGCATTCGGGTCGAAATTAGATTGCCCCACTTTCTGGCTGCAAGAACTGGAGTAGCCCCTATGTAATCGCCTATAGCACTGTAGCTTGCATATCTTTTCCATTGTCTAAGACCTCCTCTTCTGGCTGCTGGACAAGTTGTCGCTTACCCTAAGCTGTGTCTACTTGGGGCTCTTGAGAGCTTTAGGGCTAGCATCTAGGTAGGGTTTAGGGTTTAGGGTTGAAACCATCAACCGAACTGGGTTTGGGGCATCTTGGCTCTGACTTAGGGTTCAGTCTTAGGTAGGCGAACTTCAGGAGTTGTGCAGACTTCTACAACGTCAAAGGTCCGACTATCCCGTAGTCAAGTCCGTGGGATTTGGGTACGCAAAAAAAATGTGTGGGATTCGGGCTAGTATATAATGCAGGCCTAAACGATCATCACTCTGATGGCCCTAGATTCGTCGTTTGAGTATAGTACAGGCTACTCCAAACAGACCCCAACTTGATATGGCTAATTATTGAGGACAACTCCTACAAAGCACTTTTATGAACACTGTTCTCATTGAATTCTGTTCTGTTCCAATTGGTTTGCCTCTGTTGGAATGTATTGACGACCGGACAACAAATATTCAGTACTACAGGGGCCTAAATACTTACCAATATCATTCTGAGGTCCGTTTGAAGTACCAAAGACCATAATTCTATAAGGAATATGGAACCATATCGGTAATTTTTTAGGCTCCTATAGTATTTAGTACTTGGAGCCTTAGGGCAACGCAAAAAACCATCTCGCAGTTCATTCCGAAGGAAGAACCGAGTATCCCTATAATCACGGGGGAATATGGTTCACGGGGTGGGGACCTTGCTACAGTAGTTGGAGGAGATTGCTCCAGAAAGTGTGCGGTACTCCTCAATGGCTCGACTACAGCACGTGCTGCGCCCTAAGCCTTGAACCCTAAACCGTGCTGGCAGCTTGCGGGTGCAACCTGCCCAATGCCAGAATGAGGTTCACCCCATGGGCTGAGTATGGGGGAGTTAGGCCCTCGGGCTTCCGCAAGTTGAAAGAACTTTGGACCATAACTCGGCCCCATCTAATTCATTATAGGGGCTATATTGGGGTAATATTGGGGTAATACAGGGATAATACAGGGATAATGGAAAAGAAAATGGAAACTACTATTTAGGGTTTCAGGGATTAGGGATTTAGCTTTAAGAGGCCCAAGGTACATTATGGCATGCTCCGCCACAGAGATGAGAAACAGAATCAGCGCCATCTTGCGAGAGGTTGGGCTGGGGTCTTGGGGTATATGCCAAAGTCCTACACCCTGTCTGTCAATCACCTTTCGATAGGTCCAAATCAATTAAGAGAATTCAGCATGTTCTCTCACAAGGGGGAATGAAGAGGTGCCACGATTCAAGGAACAATGGATAAATCAGCGGTTCTGCCCTCCTATTGCTGTTGCTATTACTATTACTATTACTATTACTACTATTACTACTATTATTATTACAATACCTATTATTATTACTATTATTATTCCTGAAGTACGCACCCTGCCTTCACTGGCATAACAAGGATGGGCTTCTGCTTCTCAGGGTCCCTGAGGAAAGTGGCTACCTCGTAGGTACACCAGATTCCTCACAGCTGCAAACACACTGGAACACCGGACATTGTGCTTTCAGGTCAGGGGGGGCCAGTAATCAGGCTGATCATTGGAATAATTGGGGATATATCATGGCTTTTTAGGGTTCTAAATATACTTTCTAAGTCGGCCTGACCTAATTAAGGACCCCTGAAGTTTGGGGTTCAGGGGCACGCCTGCTCCTACCTAAGCACTTAAGCACGTTTTCCCAAAATCATCTTGGTTTGGATGCAACTATTCAAAGTTCATGACCTTGTGTGCAGTATGTTGTGTCTCGGACCCGACACGTCCACGCAAAACGTCTGTGCAAATCGCTACAGAGCCCCAGGCAAACCTCAAATCATCCCTGGAGGATGTATATCTTGAAGCCCCTCCCACAAGGTACAACCCCAACAGGACCCAAAATGTTGAGAAACCTTTCACTTGGTGTACTGTCTGGATGCAATGAGTAGGGGGCCCCGGAGCAGACCCCACTAAACCCCAATCCCTAACCCTGAGCCCCATACACCCCTTAATTCCTAAGCCGTACTTAGCAACCCCTGCAAAACCCTAAACCCTAAACGGCAATCTCCGTTTTCTTTTCCATTATCCCTGTATAACCCTATAGTACCCCATGTTGTCCCAACACCCCCTTTTAGAGGGGGAGCCTTAAGGACTAGATAATTAGGAAAGAGATTCTTGAGAAATACCGCTGCGACCACAAGATCGTAAGCTGTGCGGAGCGATCCTCGGCTCACATAGGCGCTTGGGGCTGTATAGGGATTATACAGGTTGATATAGTAATTGAAGGGTTTGATTGGGCTATAACAGGGCCATATAGGATTTCGCGTTAAGGGTGTGGGCTTTAGAGTTCAGGGTGTGAGGTCTAGGGCTGTAGGATTACCTAGGCAGGCACATTAGAAACTATGAGTGGCCATTATGATAAAATGGCCGCAAGAGATGTAGGTGATAACATGGTTGTAACATGAGCGCTCTCCTACCCAGGGCTTCGGGCTGTACTTTTCGAGGGGCTTTATTGGGGTGTAGAAGGTGTGGGGAGTACGGCTTCGGTCGAGGGTTTACAAAAGCTATTTCCGGGAGGCCGCATAGCAAGGGTTACAGTATACATATGTAAACAATTATGAATGTATATACATATATATGTATGTATGTGTGTCTGTGTGTGTCTGTGTCGCTGGGACGCCAAAGGAGGGATACTGCTTTCGGATATGCTCTCACTTCAGAATTGACAAAAACCTGCATGTCCCTACACCCCACAAGAACCCTGATCAGGGAACAAGTAGTTGTGAACTTCATTTATGTGTACTTTGGGTCATGGTGTCAAGCAGGGTTTTGTTCATCAAGAGGCGGCAAGATCCAGAGAAAAGTCAACAAGGTAAGGCTGAGGGTTCAACTGAAGGGACTTGAGGGTTGGGCGTAGGCGGTTTAGGGTTTCGGGTTCAGGGTTGTGTATGGATGCTTTGGGAAAGCTTGCTTTCTACAATTGTTGTCCTCCTGTTTCACTTTGGTTAGCAACTGATGATGTAGCCAACTAAGATGGGATTCTTTGCTGGGGAGAGTGTGGAAGGAGTGTGGAAGGCACTAGACAATCCCAACATGGTAGTTTCCATAAATAGGGCACCGCAACATAAACATAGACACCAAATACGATATGCCTCATAACTGGGACCCTCAACATGCTACCCCTGATTTTGGGAAATCTCTCCATAATTCTTGCGATTGACTTCTGCCTATAGCCTCCCATGCAACTTAGGGTCCATAAGGGAAACACCTTTTGTGAGAAGCTCCCCTTTGTGACTGAGTATACAAGGCAACCAGAAGCTAGCTCGTAGCTAGGGGACCGCGGCCCCAGTTTAGGATTTAGAGCTTAGGACGTCAAAACAGCCTCCATTTTATAAGCCGGTTTATAGGATTTGCATCATGCAAATTGCATGTGTGTTCAATTTCGGATAGGTAAAGTTACAAGCTCTTAAATTGTAGGTCTGTGATCCATCATCTTAGCGTAACTACCACGGCCCTTCCGCAAAGCTTCCTTACAACACCTCTTGTCCTGCTCCCTCAACGGTGCTGCCCAAGGTCAAGGAAGCCCGCCAAACCTAAAATGCCCTTCTGCTTCAGTTTCTCGTCGTGCTGTGCGATGCAGATCCTGTCCTTGGGGGCTTGGTGGGAACACTCGGAAAACTATAACTACAGTCATTATTATAAGGACCTCCAAACAGGTACTCCTCATTTCGGGAAACCTTGAACCCTAAACCTTGCAAAAAGTATCATACCGAACTTCAAGCGCCTGCAAAGCATAATGAGCTCATCATGTGGAAGCTACAGACCCTGTTTCAACGTCCTGGCTCATTTGTGAGGACTTCTTGGCAGATAGACACGTAAATGCGGCCAACAGCCACGAAGCAAAACCATATACAAAAGGACCGTAACCACCGTTGTAAAATGGGGTCATGCTAGAGCCTAAACCAAACCTTTGTGTACACAAACGCTGAAAATTTTGTTCTGCTGCACAAGCCAGGCGAGCGTCTAGGAATAGGGTTGCAGGCTTCCGAAGCCTCAAGTACACAGGGGTCCCCTCACCTTCCCCTCTTAAGCCTTAGAAGAAAGGACGTGTGCACAGCCGTGCGAGCAGCTACGCTGAGCTTTCCCTCCCAGTGACGTGACATACCCAGGCGCATGGTTCAGGTGTAATGCTCAGTAATGAACATTTACCCTCTGCCATCCTCTTTTATTAAGGCATGCGGAGCGGTCGTCATCACAGGGCCCCAACATAGGGACCCCGCAGTGACAAGATAAAGTCCTAAAACGAGTACAGAGCACAGACGCTTGAAAACCCAAAGCGGCCGTCAACCCAAATCCCAGCGCGCTAGGCTGTGCAGGTCAAGGGTTTGGTGTTTTGACGGGTTGGAGGTTTCAGATTTTTGGAGTCAATGGATTCAGACATGTCTCTATAACCTTAACCCTAAAGCGTGCCCTAGGAGCAGAGCACGCAGTCGCTGCCAGAAGAAAAACACCAACCAGAAGGTTGCGTGTGGCACGGCAAGCATCCACAGCTCCTTGAGTACGGGGAGGTACGGGGTTTTTGGGTCATCCCTATAGTCTAGGGTTTAGGGTTTAGGGTTTAGGGTTCAATATGGGTTATATTATTGGGGGTGTAGTCTCCCTTAAAGTAGATAGAATATGGGGTATATAGGAATTATATTATAATATACCCAAAGCCATATTCTATCTACTGAAGGGGGACTGCAAGGGTATGGTGGGATTAGGACTATGTCATGTTGAGACCATGTGGGCGTTCCAAACAACTTTGGGGAAGCGTGCTAGCAAAATTTTTGCCCCTTCTCCTGGGGTTCAAAGCTCATAGCAGTCTGTAGGGATGCTATGGAGCCGTCAGATTTGTAAGAAGTCCCTCATGGTTGCGCATCGGTCTCACTTATACCAACACTTCCGAATCCGTGCCAAAAGCTCCTGGAGCACTTGAAGCCAAGCCACTACTTTTACTTCTTCCCTGTTCATCCCGGCGTGCATTTTTCCGATCCTACACCCAACCCAGAGGGTCCATGTACCCAATAATTAGGTACTTGGGACTTGGGTAATAGTAGTTATAGTACAGGTTTTGGGTAAGTATATGTTTATTGGGTACTTGGACCCTTAGGGCAAGACTTCTTCAGACATGCAAGGATGAACTTGATTGTCTCCTGGGGAAGCACGTCACACGCCTTCAGCACCCCGCAGAGGACGCTCATAAACAGCGTGGACGCTGCTGCTGCAGAAGAGTTGTAAATAATCCTTAGTCAGAAAGCCATCAGAAGAAATGCAAGTATGGGGCTTCCCTGCGTGACAGAGGACCGATTTTTTTAGCAATTCAGATGTACGCAACATCCACGTTTCATCTCCCAGCTACAATAACAGCATAGCCAACAACGACGAATTTCTGAGTTCGCTGTCCCCTGCTTTACATCCTGGGTATGACAAAGGAGTTAGGAGTCTACTATATTTGATTTTCCGAGCGGTTAATCTTTGGTTTGCATTGAGTTAACCTTTGCAAACTAATGTTGATGACACCCCACCCCTTATGCTAATTGCTCCCCAAAAAGGACCTTTATATATGGTGGAACATACTGAATATGGATGAATTACATACTGCGCGAAAGAAGTCAAAGGCTACCAGCTGAACCGGTGAGAGGATCAGCATCGATAAGACCTTCAGCCATCGCGAGGTAGCCCAGTCGTGGCTCAAGAATTCGTCGTAGGCATCTGTTTTGCCTACACTCCCCCAAACTAACATGGAAACCCATACAGCCCCATTTTAGAAGGACTGTAGTCTTTGTAGGGCCCCTTTTGGGTTTCCATGTTAGTTCCCAGGAGTGTAATCTAGACCCCTAAACCCTAAATCCAGATGAAGAACCTTCAGCCTTACTGAGCTGCTGTTAAGGAACTTGAATTAAGCTGCCATAATGGGTATATAAAAGTAATTGGTATGGTTTCCCCAATACAGTAACTTGAACTAAGCTCTTTAACCCTAACCCCCAAACCCTATATATCCCTATATACCTCTATATAATTACCCCCTAAATACCCTTATAACAGCAACCCAGCCTAACCCGCACGATAGAGCGGATCCTAATCGACGGGCCGGGATTTGGGGTCTCTATTAAGTTACCCAGCCACTTTTTTAAAAAAATACGGGCGTGCTAAAGACACATATACATACAGATAGATATGTTATTGTACATTTACATTTCCTGTATGTACAGGTGAACATGCACATGCCTGCTTTTGCATAGACGGATAAGCCAATTCAACAATATGTGTATATTTATATATATATATATGCATGATCAGATGTTCACACACGCCATGTGATATGTGCTGTTGCACATATGGGGAGCGCCCGGAATATAATACGGGTACACTCCCCACCCGAGGTGAGGCACCTGTAGGAAAAAGACAGGAATGGAGCTGAGACCTATAATTGGACTTTTATCAGAATGGTTGAACGAGTAGGGTTTGGGAAAAGCTGTACGGAGGCATCACCTGGACCCTGGATGTCCTTCCTTTTTTGTGGGGGTTCTCCTTGCGTTTCTTCTAGCGTCGTACACTCTCCACGAAGCCCCCAGTACAGCGAACACATGATTCGTCCTTGCATATGTACAAGTCTATACACACATAAAGTTACATACACATATCTACATTCATAAAAAACATGTACCAAGAAGAAGCAGCAATGAAATGACTCTGGCTGCTGCTCAGCTCGTACTCCTGAGCTGTGCTGAGAACCCTGCAGAGAATCATTGCTGTTGCTTCTGCTTGACTTTAGCATGAAAAACCGTGAAGGTTGCAAAGTAGGCTTATATGCGGCATACCCGAAATTATGATCCCCTTATGGGCCCTTTTCATCCCTAAACATACTCCCTTAGAGCTATTACAAAAAATGCCTAGAGCCGTCCAGATTCTGAGTGGTCGACGTCGAACATGCCCGGATCCGGCGGTACAAAATACTTTCCTTGAAGAGTGTTGGTGCAAAGAAACATGTGATTGAACCCCCTAAAATCCAAGCCCTCTAAACCCCAACCCTTGCTAACCCCTAAATCCCCGCTAATTCCTGAGCCATGTGGCCGTTTCAACAACAACCTAGCCACTGTAGTTTCCATTGTCTTTTCCATTCCCGGATGTATCCCTATATAACTCTACAAAATCTCTACACAGCATCTATGTGCCACATAACCCCTACTGAACCTCATATAATTTCAATGTAACTCCTATATACAATTTAGCCACTATACAACCCAAGATTATCTCTAAGGACCTATCCACTATATCACCCTTTATAGCCCTTACATAACCCTATAAAGTCTGCATATGAGCTTTTGTCCAAACTCCCAGAAGACACCCCTTAATAAACCCTATAACACTCCCACGTACAATCCCCTAAACAATCCCCTTCAAGGAATTTAAGCCCTTGACCCTAAACCCTAAATCCTAAGCCCTAAATCCTAAACCCTAAACCCTAAATCCTAAAACCTAAAAAACCCTATAAAATCTTCAATAGAACCCAGCTGCCAAATCCGGTCAAGCAAACCGTGAGGGGCACGCCTCGGACCAACTCTGGGTCCAGTTCCGTCTGCAGCCTTAGCTTGATAGGGGCTTCTGGGGCTTCATAAAGGGTATATATGGGGTCCCCTTAAGGGGGGGATATAGGTATAGGGTTATATAGGGTTTAGGATTGGGGAGGAGACTGTTGTGGCGCGTATACAAAGCAAAGGTTTGCAGGTCAGCGAGACATCAACTCTGTTTTTTCAGCTCAATGTAGGTCCCCTTCTAAAGCTTCATGCTGCTTAAAACAGCAATAGAAACATTATAGCGAGGCTTGTTTCATCTATTTTTATCTATTGTATACGCGCCGCAACAGTCCGTTCTGCTAGGGTTATGAGGAAGTTGCCAAAATTACGGCTGCCTTTTGGGGGGTCCCAATTCAAGGATTATTGTACTTGGGGTGTCTGTTTTGGGGTCCACCCATTCAGGGAAACTACCTAAAATAGGATTAGAAATGGGTATATGAGGATTCTATAAGTTATATAAGGCTATCTAGGGTTCAGGGCTTGAGGCCTGATTGCCTAATTTGGGGGTGTTGGGCTTAAGGTTCAGGGGGGTGGGGGGGGCTGTGGTGGTGCAGGCTTTTTTAGGGACTTGATCTGATTAGAAGACCTGGGGTTCCAGCTTGAGGCTCAGGGCTTGGGATTAGGGTTTGGGGCTGCAAGTTTAGGATCATGGGTTGAAAGGTTTTGGTTTTACTCGCAATTCTCCTACTATCTGATACCAGCAGATGTATGCCACTGAAAAGAACAGGTAGCACCCAACTAATCCTGCCTCTAACCTCAAAGACTCCACACCCCGTAATAATTAATGCTGCCTGTAGGAGCTGAAACCTATTGGAAGTGCACGCACATGCATTCACAAATTGGGCAAGGGTGGGTGTTTCAAAGTTACGGAAAACAAAAACCGTAGAACCAGAAGCTATGGTTGAACCCTCAACCCTGACCCCTAAACCTAAACCCTAAACCCCTAAACCCTAAACCCCTAAACCCTAAACCCTAAACCCCCTGGCAACCCAAAATTATCCCCAAACTCCGACTCTGAACCGTTTTCTCTTCCCTTGTCCTGCAACCCGTAATCCCTGAACTCCAGACCCCGAAGCCCTAGAGGAGCTACTACTATAAGTGGGTTTAGGGTTTTAGGGTTTAGGGTTTTAGGGTTTAGGGTTTTAGGGTTTTAGGGTTTTAGGGTTCAGGGTTTTAGGGTTAATGTAGACAAATGATTAATCAACCCTAGAACATAGGGGTTATGCAGGGGTTATGTTGGGATAATAGAAAAAAGCATGGAAACTACTATTTAGGGTTTAGGGCTTAACCTTGGGTACTGCCCCCCCCCCCCAGTAACAGTCTACATTAAGGGTCCTATTAAGGGCTATATATAACCATAATATAATTATTAGCCAACTGTTACTGAGCGGGGGCAGTACCCAAACTATAAGTATTGTTACTATTCTTATTCTTATTACTACTATTATTACTAGTATTATTGGGTTTAGGGTTTACGGTTTAAGGGTTTAGGGTTTACTCCACAACCAAGCGTTATAAGTCTCGTCGCTCACCCTTGCAGCCTCAGCACTCAAATCTCAGACCCTGAAGTTGTAGGACAACCATGGGCCCCCCGACATGCACCTGACATGCACCCCTAAACCCTAAACCCCCCATTCTACAAAAGGCCTAATAAGCCCTACGAACTCCCAATCTTCCTTAACTGCCTGAATTTCTTTCCCAACACAGCCGCCCCACATATAACCACAACATATCATAATCCTTATATATCCTTATGGTTGGTGCCCCCCAAAAATTGTAGCACTAATTTTGAGAAACCCCTATTTAACCCAGGCCACTGTCTTTCCACGCCGTGCCCGTCTTTAGCTTCCCGCTGAAACCCGGCCATGGCTCTGTCTTCGACAAGACAGGCCGCTACTACTGGGGCCTACAGCTTTGGGTGCCATGGACAGGTTTATCATCTTGACTTCCCACTCTTATGATTACCTAGGCTTTGTTGTTGTCATTAATGTTGTTCTGTTATTTGTGTACGATGTACAATTTAGAAGGGAGGTGAGGTCCAGGAAGGTTCCCAAATCTAGAGGGGTAGAACAGCCTTAGGAACTCTTCCAGCATCAGTATCACAAGCGGCTTTCCCGCTGTGATTTGGCCCACTAGAAGGCAGCAAGGAGACGTACATAGTAAGCATCAAAGCATGGACCTCTTAAGAACTGATTATATTAGGGGTATATTAGGGCTATATGAGGGTTATATTAGGGTTATATTAGGGTTATATTAAGGTTATATTAGGGCTATATCAGGGTTATATTCGGGCTATATTAGGGTTACATTAGGCTATATCAGGGTTATATTGGTGTTCTACTAGGGCTATATTAGGTGCAGCTGCTTTTCCTCAACTCCTTTCTGAATATTATCCCTTGCCCGCATGTGCCTGTGGCTGTTGCGTTGACTGTCGGCCTGGCTAACCCCTTCAAGGCAAGGCCTGCTGAACTTACATGTATTTCGGCTGCCTTTCCAGGATGGTTGCTTCCCGCTGCGTAGGTGAGAGTGCCCCTTTACCTAGCACTCGAATTATAGGGGCCTACAAAAATGAACTTAAGGAGGAAGCTTGGACCTCCAAAAGTGCACGTACAATGGAAGCCTGTATCATGACCGAACATGGAGAATCAAAAGGCAAATGACATGGGAACTTCGATTGCATAGGGGATTCGAAAAGTGTAGAAGACTGAATCGCAACCAATATCATTCGCTCATTAATGCAAGGGTCCAAGGACCCAAAAAACAGGGTTTCAGGGCCTAAATACATTTGACAATAGAGTATCTGGACCCTAAAACCCCAATAGTTGGGTCCTTGGACCCTTAAGGCGATGTAACCCCAAACAGAACCTGTCTCGACATTTTGAAGGACCTACAGTATTGGTTTCATCCTAGTAGCCCATCTGAACTCCTTCGCCTGGTACTGACCCTTGTGATCCCCAGAATGCTCCTCGAGCATTCTAGAAACCCACCGTAGGGCCGAAATACTTAGAATGAGGTCTTTCGGACACATTAAAGAAAAGTTCTACCAGGATTATATTTGTGTAATTCCTGGATAATCCTGACAGTAATTCAGGCTTCTACAGTGTATAGCCGCTACACCGGGAACCCGGTAAGAAGCCCCAGACTGCGCCAAATGCAGAATCCCGAGATGAGACTCTAGCCACTCATCCCTGTGGGTCTAGGGTTTGGGGTCCCTGTAGCCGACCCTCCACCCTATTATCCCTAAGTTTCCCTAATATTCTCCAAGCCCTACTACGTACAGCTTTTTCTTGTAGGTGCGTGCTGCCTCCTAACTAGGGGGTAAGTAGTATTCAGCTGTAGGTAGTTGAGGGGTCACAGTTGAACACAAAACCCCGATGATCGGGATGCTCAAGCCGAGCGCTGTGCCCTCAAGCGCGCCCATGACGTCCTGTTGCTGATAGCGCGTTACATGTCGTAGTTCGGGTGTAACAGCGTTGCATAGGTTCGGGTTTATGGGAGCCGAGTACGCTCGTTTGGAGTGCAGTTTGTGGAGGCTCCGTACTACAAATAAGCATATGATTACTAATACTCATATTGAGACCAAAACTAATACTGACATTGATACTGAGACTAATCTTCAGGCGTGCCACCCTCGCAAATATGGCAAAACAATTTGTCGGGGCTTCGGCTTTCGTGGGCGCGCTGAAAAACACTTCAAGGCTTTTACTTGTCGAATCTGGAGAAACACTCTTGCAAGGGACACTCTGGCAAGGGACTAGTGTTGCAGTCGAGGATGGCTTCTGTTGCTGTAGCTTTCACGGCCGAAGGCAGCTTTCTCCCATCAACCATCACCCTCCTACACCCTGAACAACACAAAACCCTTCAATTCACATCCCTATACCAACCAAGTCCTATTTCATTGTCCTCCAGTGTTCCGCTCCATTCGGTTCTCTGCTGTGCCTAACACCTACGTACATATCCCTATAAGCCAGCTAACCAGAGGTGAGTAAGTCCTAAGCCTTAAACCCCAAGCCCACTAAACCCCTGAACCCTGAATCCCACCTCCTAAATCCTAAGCCCCAAACTCGAAAACCTAAATCTTGAACCCAGGATGGTAGCTTCCTAAAATTAGGGTACCCAAATATAAACCCCAATGTACTATAGTCCTAATTATAGGGACCCCCCAAAAAGTACCCCTGATTGTGGGAAACCCCCCATATGACCCTAAATCCTGAAGCCTAAACCCTAAAAACCCTACACCCTATAAACCCTAAACCTTATATCACCCTATACGACCCCTATATCCCCCCATAAAGGGATCCCATATATACCCTTTATGAACCCCCCAAAAACGCCCCTATATGACCCTGGGTAAGTAAACGTCGCAGCTGGGGCCTCCGGGATCCGGCGGCGACTGAGGCCAGCGCACCATGGAGGAGCTTGCACCTCTAGCCTGCAAACACTTGGTTTAGGGTTTAGGGTATAGTTTTGTTTGTTTTTGCTCTTTTTTAATAGGGTCCATTGGGTTCAGAAGGTTTAGGGTTTATATAGGGTTTATAGGGTTTAGGGTTTGCGTTGTTGGGATTAGGGCTTAGGATCTAGGATTGGGGTATAGGGATGAGGGTCTAGTGTTTGTTTGGGCTTGTGGGGTCCTTCCAAGCAGGATATAGGGATTACATAGGCATATATAAGGATTCTACTATAGACTTACATAGGGTCTAGGGTTTAGGGTTTTTTGGTTTGAGGTTTAGGGCTGGTTCAAAGTTTGGGTTTTGGATTCTTGGATTAAAGCCTACCTACGATGGGGGCAAGCATAGTTATTAGCCAAACACAATATATAGTTCTGGGATCCAACAAATCCAAACCTTAAACCTTAAACCTTGAACCAGCCCTACACCCCAAACCTTTAAACCTAGACCCTATATAACCTCGATAGTAGAACGCCACCGGCCAATGGGTGCTCTCTCCAAAACAGCGCCATGTTTGTCGGGTACCATGGAGGGACTCCGAGAAATTCTCCGCATGGTCGCAAAAACCCAAGGATCACCTGGCTCTCTCATGACTCTCTCATTGCATGGAATCTAGATTCTAGGTATGTGACCTCATAAGATTCCACTGGATCCCATGCAAGCAAGGAGTGTGCTGTTTTGGACATGCCTCTTTCATGCCGGAGAAAAGGATGTGCCTGACCATCTGCCCCCTAATCAAGGCAGATGCGCATGTAGTTTCGCTCCTTCATTGTAAGCTGGCTTCTCAATAAGAGCCAAAACATTAACTGTTTAGTGTTTGGGGTTTAGGCTTACTTTTGCAAACACCTTGTGTACTCCCATGGCCACTTAAAACAAACTCTTTAACTCCTTTCGCGTGCGAAGCGCTCATGCAATCCGACAAGCATTCTGCAGTAGCTTGTCCTATGATACTCACAGATTATGGTTAGTCACTTCCACTAATATTACAAGCCCCCAATCCCTAGCGCTCAGGTATATTAAATTTGTTGTTTTTTTGGGTGGGAGGGGGGCGTGTTCACTGTTAGCCTTGAACCATCAAACCTTTACGAAATTCAAATAGAGCCTAGAGTTGTTCCCGTTTGCTTTTCCATTCGCCTATAGACCCCTTTTGCAAATAGCTCGATGAGGATCCCTTGGGACCGGCATGGAAAAAGGCTGGTTTGAGGCTTAGGAACTAGGTTATGGTCTAAGGATTACAGGTTAATGGCAGGAACCCCTGACAGGACAGCCTCCTGGCCTAGAAAAGAACTTACAGCCTCAGCGGTTCACACTTTCGCACTGAATTCCAGGATTAAAGTTAGGCGTATGCATTGAACACTTGCACTCCCGCTTCGCGGCTTTTATCAACCTAGAAGCCAAATCCTAATCCCTAAATCCTAACCTGAACCCGGGCCTAGACCTTACAAAAGGGCACTGGAGGTGAAAGCTTCGTTGGGAATGGGGGAATTGCTTCTAGTGACTCTTGTGGGAATGCCAAACCTTACCAACTATCCAGATTCTTCAATTTCTTGGTTAATATACTATTGTCCCGTACCAAAACAAAACACAACTCAAACCGCAAAAGAAACTACATGGATAGTTCCCAAACTTAGGGTCCCATTTTGGTACCCCTAAATATTAGGTGCCGCAATATAATGTGTAACCAAAGGGGGCCCATAATTTTGAGAACCACCCACATAAGAGCCCCTGCACGGTTAAGCATGAGTAGGAAACCCTCTGGCTGGTGCCTCTCGGGCAGCAAGGCCTTTCCTGGGAGGGCTTGATGGAGTGCGACTTTTCTTGCGGGAGTACAGGGAACTCTATAGGAACTCCTTAAGATTACACGGGAGTTGCAAATAAAAACTAAAACTCCAAACAGCCCAATGTAGGTCATATTTACAGACATATTAGGGCTCAATGTAGGCATGATTTGGAAGACAAACCCTAAACCCTAAACCCTAAACTCTAAAACCTAAACCCTAAACCCCTAAACCCTAAACCCCTAAACCTCTAAGGCCACATCCAGGGACCCTGCCAGGGAGGACTCCGGGACCGCCCTCAAAAGCACTCCCAGACCATACCAAGACGCTCCAAATTTACTACCTGGACCCCAAAAGTATGTAAAATAATGGCCTTTATGGCTAGTTTTATGGGTTTAGGGCTATTATTTTACATACTTTTGGGGGTCCAAGTAGGTGTAAGTAGGGGGGGGTTTAGGGTTTAAGGTTTAGGGTTAGGAGGGAATAAGCGTAATATAGTGACTAAGGATTATATGGGGACGGGATTCGTTTACGCCGCAACTTCCAAGAAGCAGAAGCACCCCAAGAGCCCCAATCTCAGCCCTAAACCCATGTTCTGAACGCTAAGGATTTAGTTGAAGGTAGGTCGTCAGAAGGATTTTTCAATTGATGTGCTATACTGGATTTTCTGTTAAGGGGTCTAAAGTAAGCTGCCAAAATATGGATCTATAGTAAATAATAGCGTTCACGAAGATTGGTAACTCATTCCAAATATGGATCTATAGTGAAGCGTAGCGTTCCCTAGTAACTGCAACTTATTTCGAGTTCCTTGAAAGCAAGCCTTCATCGGTGAGATGCTCAGGTAGACGGCGGGGGGCTGTTGGGTCCATGGTTTAAAGTCATGCTGAGGGTGTCGCTTGTCGTAGTAAGATTTTGGGGGGTTGATGAACGAGAAGTTTGCGGCAGCAAAAAATGTGCTGAGCCTGGGTTACACTTGGCGTTTCATGTGCCTCTGAGACGACTTGAGCTAAAATGCTAGGGTTTAGGGTTTAGGGTTTAGGGCTCGGATGCGCGAGTGGCGATTTTGAGCCATCAAAGACCAAATTCGATGACAGTCCACTTCATGCAGTGGGTGCTTAAAATTAGCGGAGGCAATCCCAAACCCCGTGCCCAAGCCAAAGGTGAAGCGGAGAAGCGTGATTTCGAGCCATACTACCAGGACGCTCCATGCTTCAGGTACAGAACTGGCCTACGGGGACACCTTACTCAATATTCTTTATCCTTAACGCAAGATGCCAACGTTAACACGATGTTTGGGACATGTTCCCTACATAGATGTCTCATAGTATCTAATGCTCATGAGGGTCCTCTCTGATTTTTGTAGGGGACCCATATTATGTCCACAGGGTCCCTTGTAGGGACCCTGATTCTGAGAATCTCTCATTTACTCTTCACCCCGCTTACAACAAAAAAGGCAAGCAACTTTGCATTCCAAGCTGCTTCACAACCCCTATGCCAAAACCTTAAACCCTAAGACGGAGGGGTCGCACTGTATCGTCTGAAGCTCCAAGCAATGATGGGAGTGGCCACCTGAGTATGGACTGATCAGCAGGTAGCCCCGCTAGTGCAGTGACCTGTGTATGCCCAGCCTGCTTATAACTATAATATGACTATACGGACCCTATAACAACCATGTGACTATATTAAGGTCCAGATCTCTAAGGTTGAGACTAAATAAACCCCTTGTCATACTTCCCATACACCAAACATCGAGCGACCTGGAAGATCAGCCCTTGTCACGCACAGAGAGGCCTAGGGTTTAGGGTTCCAACTCCCGTCGCCCCGCGCCCTACGATGAATTTGACAAGCATCTGCGACTGGCAGCAGCCAAATCCGACGGAAGAATCCACCTAAGCAGAGAGAGTGCTGAGTTTCAGGATTCAAGGGCTAGTAGCATGCGGGAAGCTTCAAGAGAGTTTGATGTAGAGGATTTCGAGAGAACCGGGTACCGGGCTACGAGGGACGTATGAGGCTTTCAAGGGGGCTCATGGAATCCTTAATGATTCATGGACTTTGTAATAGTAAGTAACACCCATGTATTTCAAGATCTCATAGGGCAGGATCACAGCAAAAACCACGTCTGGAAGCTCGCAGGGAAGTCTGATACGCACTGTAGCAGAAATGGAATAGCGCGTATCTCCGGGTTGCGTTGTTTGAATGCCATGGGCCCTTTCCTAACTGGGACCGTTGGGCCTTCAGTTTGGTATCTAATGCCCGGGACACCATGGAGGCGCTCGCCACGCAGTCCCTTCCAAAGTTATACCCCAAAGGGTCCAAAGTACCTATATGGTAGAAAGTATGGTTTCTGTAGTAGTAATTTCCCTTATGGTTTGGGTAAGTATTCCCTATATGGGTACTTTGGACCCTTTGGGTACAGGCAACAGGCAACCTACCTAGCGGAAGCCATGTTTCTACAAAAAATGGCGGTTGGAGCTACTTGGGTGGTAGCTTTAGCTTTTGTATCCGATTGGGGTACTGTATGCACCTAAAGAAAGATTGAAGCCTTGCTCGCTGAACTCGAGGAGCATGATTTTGAAGTTTCGGGTCTTTTCCAGCATCTGTTTCAACTCGTGGCAGCACAGAAGCTGCACAGAGGCCACAGGCCATTCAGCCGACGCCAAGCCTTGTACTTCCAGGAACACTATTACTGTTAGCCTTGTGATCCTTTCCATGAGCCAACGGAATCTCAATGTTTGGGGGCCTGGAGGACAGTCTGAGAACGCCGCCGTCTACAAAGAGTTCAAGGGCGGATTTGTGGCCCAAAACTGTTGCTTACAAACTGCGCGCAAACGCGGGGAAAGAGTTGACATGCCACCCATCGTGGCACATCCAAAAGATCGAATTGCTGCACGGAGGTATTCGAAAAAATAGACGGGCTTCCATTCAGAAAGCCGTGCGTCGTTACTCCTGGTGCACACCTGGTGACAACTTGCACCAGGGCTGCTTCAAGAAGTGAGCGTACTGTTTTTTTAGGAGCGGGGACACGCATGCTATATAGGAAGGTATATTGCTGTACTGCGGAACGCTGGGGCCTTCGCGCTCTGTCAAACCTAGCCAGGAGTCTTGCATGCAGGATCGTCAAGGAGCTGTCCTTCATGTTGGAAGGCTAGACAGCATGCCACACAGCCAATATGCCTTGGCACGCTCCAAGATGCTAATTTCGTGCATTGAATGTCAGATTAGGGCAGTCACAACTGCGTCCCCCCACTTGGGAAGCATCCTGAATGTAGAGTCTCTCCTCATTCTGACATGTTAAAATTGGAAATGTTGCCATTGTTCTTACACGACGCTCCGTTACATGAGGTATGTGTGGTGCGCGGAAGAATTTCTTCTCCTCCGAAAGCCAATACCTTATGGTTGCTGGGGCTTAGTATGAGATATGTGAATATATCGCATAGGCATTTGTTGGGGAGAAATTCCATTATTCCCTACCAAAAACCACTAAGTATGAGTATGAAACGTCAATGAGTATATCAGCTCACCACCAGACCAAAAGTTGTTGCCCACGCAGGATCCCTTAACCTGAAAGCAGCCGCGAACCCAAGGGCTCCTACGTGTGTAATGCGGCCAGTAACTTCTGGGGAGAGTGGTGAACTTACATGCTTTGCACAGATTGAATACAAGCGAATGGACCCGGTTTAGGAGGATTCTTGTCTCAGGATTCTCCCAGGCTGCTGGGTTGGGCTAGAACTTCATAGCTTCCTACCGGTTCAACACGACGTCTCCGGAGACTGCGCGGTGGTCACTGCCAGCGGCACGAGGCCAAATCTGGGACTGCACGATGGACTGGCCTGAACCATGTCAAGATGGAGAGGTTTAATCTTCAAGGGTGGAGGTTTAGGAGTGTAGGGGTCGGGGTTCTAGGTTTCAAGTTTGACGTTCATACAACTTCATGAACTCCAAAGGCATGTAATGTAAAAGCATTGCCTTTTTGGGTAGGCAACAGCACTGGGTGGAGTCTTCTTACCTCTGGTTAGCAAGGAATGGAAGAACAAAAAGAAAATGGAAAGTACCGTATTGTTGAGGAAGATATAGGGACTACTTTAAGGATCTGTGACATCATTCCTTGCTAAGGAGAGGAAAGCCTTCTTGGACGAGAGTAGACCGATCTCATCCCGTGAAGGTCCAGGAGGCAGTTGGACTTCAACCGCTGAGCGGCTGGCAGTAAAATCAAACAGACTCAAGGAAACCTCCAGGTGGGTAGCTATGAGGTGGGTACCTAAGAAGGACGAATACACATATATATATATATATGCGTCAGCATTCACAGGTCCCCCCGCTGTGGTCCTCTCTTGTCCAGTGATCTCGGTTTGGTGGGTTTGATGGTTTGGATTAGAAGTTTGGATGAGGTTAAAGACCCTTTCACAGTGTTAAAAGAGAGGTTCTATAAGGTTTAAAGAAGGTTTGCAGAAGGTTCATCAATTTATAACGTGTTGCCAAGGGTTCCAGAAGGTTTCTGGGGGTCTCTAGCGGGCTTATGAAGGTTTTTGTAAACTTTTATATGCAGGGCGTAAAGAGACAGAGGATGTCTAAAGGTTTTTAAGCTTCTACAAAATTTTATGGAGGGTTTACATGGCGGTCATAGCGTTTTTTGCAGGTTGATAGAAGGTTAAAGAGTTTTGTGGAGGGTTCGTAGTGGGTTTTATAAAGATTTCATAGAGTTGTACAGTATTGGGCGCTGATACAGGCAACCCCCCCACGGTCCTGTGCTGTCTCTGGATCCTGCGGTGAGTTCTTGTAGAGGGTTTGAAAGACGAGAAGAAAGGTAGGGAGTGTAGGGAGGGGGAGGAGCAGGGAGTGAGAGCCCTTTCCTTGCTGGTACCAACCTGCTAACTACTCGGATGCAGGTGCATAGGTCGCCCTGTTGCTTTCTATACGTAAAAGTGGCACGAAACCTAGGTTTGAGCGCGATTTGGAGGAAAAGCATGGTAGTTGGACGTCCAGGAAGCGATTGCAGTCAGGACAAGATTTCACTCTTTGTAACATTGTGTTTCGGTTGCTGAGATTGAGTTTGTTAACCCGGAGTCCGCAACCCGCAACACGTAGAGAAACAAAAACGCTGTAAATACTAGTGTTTTGGGCATGGGCATGGGCATGGGCGCTTGTGATAGCCTTCCTTGTTCCACATCCATGCGAGGTCTAAGTAGCAAGGATCCCTGCAGAGATCGCATCATGTCTCATCTAGCGGAGTGCCTCCAGAAGCTTTAGAACAGGCAGGTCGTCTTCTAACGATGTGTCTGCTATCGGATCATGACAAAGCAGGTAGAGGTTTCATTTCAGTATCACGTGGTAGCTGCCATAAGCGCAGGGGATCCCAACGTAGACTCTAAAATGCTTGAACCCTCGAACTTGATATGGAATTTTCGGAAATCCTAACCGTAAACCCTATAGCGCCACAAAAACTTCATAACCTCCCTCACAGGTGGCCTCTTACTTTTTGAACCCCCCATGCGCTTGGGACCAGCTCCTGAGCGGATGAAACCTTTCCTTCCTCCGAAGCCAAGTCGTCAACACCTAGCATTTACCTGTAAGACTGATTAAGTTCAGTAGTAAGTCTCCCCAATTAATAGGTAAACCCATAAAGCTGTAGGCAATCGAGATTACAGGTAGGGTTTAACTAGGGCGTGCTTAACCTCAATCTTGAACCCTCAAAGGAAACTCAATTATGCTGCGCGCGCAGGATGTTCTAATTTAAACTTCAGCACCTAGGCTTTCCTCATCAAGGGCTTCAGGGCGGCTTTTAGCAGCTAAGTAGGGTACGGGACAAGTGCCAAATGCCAAGCATGTACGTACATGCTGACTGTTATGTGCAGCATGGCCCCTTGAAAGCCAAAGAAGCTCAGTTTCACGAAGAAGGGGAGTGTCGTAAACTTTGCCCAGTGGCCCACGGAGATGGGAGTCTTCTGAAAGTACACGTAATCCAGTCGCACCGGGTCGTCGTTGATGGTGGAGGGGTCCGGGTTGCCGGGGTGAAGCTCAGCCCAGGCCTGGGTCGACCGGTTTGAGGCAATCCCTTCACACTAACATTCAAAACGCCCCCAGCCTGAATATTACATATGTCCCCGGTACGTAAGGTCTCCTAATGGGGAAGCGTTTAACATCAAGGGTGTGGGTGTCTCATGGTAGGAGGAGTGGGGGCCTCACAGTAGCATGAAGGGAATTTGTTGAGGGCTTAGGGCCTGGGGTTTGGGCTTCAAGGTTTGGGTGACAGGATGTACAGTTTAGCGTCATGGGGGAGTGTGCGTGGGGGGGTCGTACATAACAATTGGGAGGGGAGATCCTTTGTGGAGGGTTGTAATCTACTAGTGCCTATCATAATCAATTGAGTATAATCATTCCCAAGGGCTCCAGTTACCTAAATAATGGGAACTGGGTTCTAAAAACCCTATAGTTACATAGCCCAGTAACCTACTATTCAGGTAACTGGGAGCCCTAGGATTTTTTTCTGGGATTCTCAAAGGATGCCTCTTCGCTTGAAAACTCTCACACGGGTCATAGTAGGGTTTCCCAGTTGCTGTAATATGTCCTCGGGAGCATGAAAAATTCGCGTCAGCGAGCTCAGAACGCGGGGCTTAGGGTTTAAGGTTGCCAGGCCTTAGAATACAATCCCTGTCCAAAACCTATGAACCCAAAAGATGTGCGGATCAGAGAAGGGTCTGGGGGATGTCCATGAGGGCTCAAGGCTACAACCCACTGCAAACCTATTAGAGCATAGAGCTCAGGACCCTGAATCCTATATCTCGGATAGCTGAGATGCGTCTGTGAAGGTCATTGGAATTTGCCAATGACGCCCGAAGGCATCAACATGCCCTTGTCTCAAAAGCTGCTGCGATGGCTGGAAGTAACCTTTCGTTGGGGATTCGGTGTATAGGGCGGTGTAGGGCTGGGTCTACGGATTCTGGAGTGAGAACCGCACCAAGAACCAAGATGTAGAGGATTTCAAATCTAGGTGGCTGAGGTGGGAAAGACAATGACCAGGTCTTGTCAGATACCTCTATCTGAGAAATTGTTACTGTTGAGCGCGCTGCTTAAAGAAGAAGATGCTGAAGAACACATGTGGGTGCGCTCTCTTTACCATTTCGCAATATTCGACGACAAGCCCCTCAACCTAGAACATATGGGCATCCGAGACGACGCTGGACTCTGAACCATCAGTCCTTAACCTCAATTCATCCGCTCAGAAGGGAGCCGCGTGGCCAGTGTTCAGGTCTCCCATAAGGACGATGGGGTACGGATGTTGGTACTGAACCTGGCAGTGGGCTGGGAAGGGGTACTGTAAGGGCTCATGGTTCATTAGGGTTTATGACGGTTTAGGGCTTCAGGATCTGGCCAGGCCTCTGGATTTGTAGTCTCCCCCAGATTGAAGAAATAGGTGCGTATATCTATGTATATAAATAGATGTATCTTGAAAAAGGGTTTCTTGTGGACTGCTGTCCTTTAACTTGAAAAAGGGTTTCTTGTGGACTGCTGTCCTTTAAATACAGGCCTATCAAAGTTCCGCGTTGGTTTGGGATAGGGTAGGTTTGGCTTGTTCCGAGGATTAGGGTCGAGGGCTCCAGGTTAAACCTTGAATCCTAGTTCACCCTGCTCCCCCTCCCTAAAGACTCAGTTCTCTGTCAGCGCCGATAAGCGCCACACCGACGCTTGCAGCGAAGCACCAACTGAAGCAGCCATGTGACGATGTCTATGTTAATGCTACAAGTCCTCGACATGAAGCCCCCATTCATCCGGAACTCGCTCGGGAGAGATTTGAAGAGAATGAATATGCTAGGGGCCTGCTAGTGCTAGACCCTGGCTCACCCGACGCCCTAAACCCTGATTTGGGGCTTGCTTAGAGGTACAGGGTACCCATAACCCAATTCTTAATTGTACTTTTCAGCCAAGTATCAGCCTCCTAACCCTAAAAGTGTTGTACTTCGGCTTGTATCGCTGAGACTTCGAGTGGGTTTAGGGGCTACAGGTGAGTAATGTTTTTTGGTGGTTGAACCTAGTAAGATAATATTCCTTATATAACTACTATACCCCAAAAGGAGGATGTAGTCTTACTCTATAATGGGTACCCTAGTATCCCCAAATTAAACACTACTCAGGTGAAGCACCTGGCTCAAGGTCTTGGTGACAAAGTCTACAGCCTCGGTGATGACATAGTCGCCACGGCCTGGTAATTAGTGGTCACGGCGGGTTTAGGCTTAAGGGTTTAGGGATTTGGGTTCAGGAGTTTCAGGCCGGGAATGGGAGTTAATCGAGTTCTTGGCTTCCAGGTTAGACCAACTTTTGAACGCACGGTATACTTGTGTCATGGGAACAAGCACTATTTCTGTCTTCTACAGCTATCAGTCTTCTAGGTCAGCGCAGCTGCAGGGCATTTCTCAAAAGCCGAGTCCGGCACTATGGTACCCTAAATATTAGCCGCCTTTGCTGCATTGATCCAACCAAACGGTGGGAGTCCCATACTGTGGTCTGGGCTAGTCTGGTCTGCATCGTGCGATCTTGTGCGATCTCCTGCAGTTTCGTGCGTTTACACTGTTACATGAACACCTCTTGCGTGCAATCTCATGCGATCTCGTGTGATTTCGTGCAATCTTGTGCAGTCTCGTGCGTGCAAAGGATGGGTGAGGCCGCCATAATTGCTGTCTGGAAAGAGGCACCAAAGGTTGAGTGTCGTTTAGTATTTGGGATCATGAACAGCACCTGGCCGTGGCGAGTGAACTGGCTCCAGTAGGACCAGGGCACCAGGGGTTTGAAACATAGCCCTGCCCCTAACATAAAATATTGCATGGTGCTTTTGTGATATATTGGAAGTGTTTACATAATGGGAAGTGCATCCTGGCATGCCTTGTGGCGGTTCCTATTAGAAGGCAAAAAACCATACCGAACCTGAACGGAAACTACAATGCGGGGCCTAGCTAAGTAGCATCGAAAAGTATGCCACTAAAGGGTACAGGCCCTGTACCCCGCCTAAACCCTAAACCCTAAACCCTAGTGAGTCCAGGCCCAGGCACAGCAAAGAGGATGCGTGCCGGAAGCGATGAGAGAATAGCCGTCCGACTTACGCCGCAAAGCCTGAGTTCCTGTTTCCCTGAATTTTGGTTTAGGGTTTACCCTCATTGTGCTTTTGGAGGGCTTCAATGAGCCGACGCGCTTGGTCTTGGGTTGAGGGTTCGGTTTAGAGTCTTCATCTTAAAAAACCCCTATATCCCTTGTAGTTTCCATTCTATTTTCCATTACCCCAATATAACCCCAATACAACCCAAATACTTTCCATTTCTTTTCCATTATCCCAATATAACCCCAATAGAACCCTATAATATATACCCCAATATATACCCTATAATCCCTATAGTTTCCATTTTCTTTTCCATTATTAGATGTTTTGGGCGCTCACCCCTTCAAGACCTGGAGGTCCTCTTGCCAGGGCTTGAAGCCTCTATGGGGGATGCGGTAGGTAAGGCTTTTCCTTGTAGCTCCACCTGGCCACAAACTGCTAAAGTGGGCCACTGTAAGGTACTACAAAAAGGAAACATATTATTTACTATATGCCCATACTAGGCTCTACGGTAGCTACTTTAAGTTCCTTAACAGCAACCCTGTGAAAGCCAGGCTTCCCAACAGGCACCAAGGAGCGGCCCAGTTGATCGCTCGGCCAGCTGAGAACGGAACAAGGTCGCTAGCAATGTGCTCCCACCTTACTGTTTGTTAGTAGGGCATGGAGCCTGAACCTGAACCCTAACAGGAGGAATGGAAAAGCAAATGGATGCTGCTATAGGGTTTAGGGTTTAGGTGTTAAGGTAGGGAGTGGAGGAATGGATGCCTATAGTCACGCCGTTTAAGGTCTAGGGTTCGTTTTCTTTTCCATTCCTTCCTTCCCTACTAACGACCAGCAAGCCGCTTGTCAGACCTGTAGAGGATGTCTGCATCATTGAACTGCTCGGTAGCACCTCCTGTTGCAAATGCATACACATTGCCTGGGCTGCTTTTTTAAAGGACTGAAAAGGAGTTACCACAAGAACGTAACCGTTTTATTTACCCTGCATCCATGCTACGGTAACTTCACCCTAAAACCTGTTTAGCCCCTGTATACCTGTATAAAACACCTCAAAACCCTTTCACGGGACCTATTATGGTAGCCTAATTTCAATTCCTTACATGTTCCCAGTGTACCGGTGTACCTAAAAAATACCTATTAAGCCTCACCTGGACCTCAAAAGTAGGTAGAACAATGATCCGAAAACACCAAAAAATCGTTTACATACTGCTGGGGTTCAGCTAACCCACCATACCCTACACCCTAAACCACCACACCCAAAAAAACACACACACACACAAACACATAAAACCCTGACTTTTAACAGGTGCCCAGTCGCCGGACCGCTGGTTCAACAGGTCAATGATGGCACCCTTCTCGTGCCACATCTCCGGAATGGCAGCAATCTCAGGCTGCATTCCTGGGCTGCTGTTCAAGAACTTAAGTAAAAGGTTCGCGCGATTTCGGGTGTCGGGTTAAGGGGTAACCTCGGACCACCAAAAACAAAAGAACATGGAATATGAAATGGACACTAGCATAGCCCCAAAACAAGTTTGAATTCAGTCAGCGTATTGTTGCCAGTTTGCTGTAAGTGCGGCTTACGGCTCAGTTACCATATATACTGTTCATTTAAAAATTCAGACCCCTTAACAGCAAGCTAGATTCGCATCAGCTCATCCACAACGGGATGGATGCGGCCGGCCAATGTGAAGACGTACAGGTTCCAGGTCACAAATCGCGTGGGGTTACCTTGGTTCTTCGAACGGGAAGAAGGCCCTAACACACCGGCCTTGGCCGATTGTTCTTGCACCTTGTCCGGAACGTGTAGAATTTTTCAGTCTTCATACGTCTCCGTCTAGAAACCTGTTAAGCACAATCCTGTTGAACCCTGCTCCCCAATGCGTACCAGCCCCTGAATCCTAAACGGAACTCCCCTAAACGAGTATGACACCCGCTAAAGGTGCTACAACAATGGCTGTCCTTTTGGAACAGAGCTACCAGGGGGCTGCATTTTAGTTTGGAGTAGGCAAGCACTCAAACACTAGAACTCTAAAACTCTAAATCCTAAACCCTAGACCCCTAATACCTAAATCACCAAACCTTCAGACCCGCTCCTGACTCCTTAGGAAGGAAACACTTGGCAACCCAACCCCTGCAAGAACCGCCCGGCTTGAGTAACTGCACATGACATTGGGCTGCTTGTCCAGATCTTTATGTAAAATAGTTAGCTATGAGCCCCTTCCTGAAGATAGCTGCGCACGCTACAATTGCAATAGGGGGTCATGCCTAGGGTTCAAGGTTTCGTTACCGCTACACTGGACCTCAACCTCCGCCTGGTGCTGATATTGGTAAGCTTGCCTCCTCTGTAACCCCGGTTTGGGTCCTTGATATACCTGTCTTAGTTCCGGCTTACAAACCCTACACATCTCCACATGCATACCATTGATTCCTCCTAAACACCCTGTTTCCTTATGAGCCTCCAAAAATATTCAGACGCAGTCACCGGCACCATTGTTGTTCTGGCTCTGCGACTGGGTTGCGGACACCTACCATGAAACAGGAAAGGAAGCCAATGATCAATACTTCAATACGTAGCTTACAGTTCCGGGCGGGGTGTCGAAGAATGAATAAGCATCAAAAACAAGTGTGACCTACTCGACATAGAAAATTAACTAGCCAATAAAGAGCGGACCTCGTTGGTTGCGAAATGCAGAACTGTCGTTGCTTTTGGAGCCTCGTGGTGACCAGTGCAGAACTGTCATCGTTTTTCAAGCCTCATCGCTGCAAAGTGCGGCACAGTCGTCTTTCTAGGAACCTCGCGGTGGCGAAGTGCAGAAATGTCTTTGATTTTGGAGCCTCGCGGTGGTGAAGTGCAGAACTGCCGTCACTTTTGGAGTCTCGTGGCGGCGTGAAGTGCAGAACTGTCATGGCGTTTTTGGAGCCTCGTGGTAGCAAAGTGCAGAACTTTCATACTTTTTGGAGCCTCTTAGCAGTTGACAAGGATTCACGATTAGACATGATACGGGTTCATGCTCGAAACGCCGAGGGGAGGGTGCAGTGGATTCAGCAGCACGGGGTTGGGGGGTGTGCAGCCCACCCATTTTCAAACCATTGAACTAGGTGGCAATTGTTGATCAGGGGAGTCTTTGCAATCCTTCATGCTTCCTTGCAACCCAAACCCTGCCTAAAAACGATCAAAACAATCCCCAACAACAAAAACAAAAACGATGGTTCGTAGCAGTAGTAGTACGAGTCCCTCTGGTGGTCTTCGTATGATTGTCTGATTCATTTTTGTAGTATTGCTAGAATGGTTAGTAAAAGTTAGCTTTAGAAATATCGTTCCTGAAATTACGTGCGCCATTACTACGATTGCTATCACTACTTCTGATTATTACTTTTGGTAGTTTCCCAAAATAAGGGGGCCTTAATATTGACCCCAATATACTACAGAACTTATCATTGGGAGCCCCAAAATCCCGTTTATTTGTTCAAGTTTTCTGGGGTTCCTCGCTCGTGCAAGACTGACCAGAGGACCGCAGGACTAGAGGGCCAGGGGATTGGAACTGCCTCAGAGTTCACGCAATTGTTTCTTGATGTTTATCCATGTTGTTTGATACCTATGCCGTCTCGCAAAACCTCGCAAGACCTCCACGCCTCACAAGCTTGGTGGCCTATTCTCGCCTAAGAACCAGGTCCTGCGCTATGGGCTCCGAGGAAGATGTCAGCACAGTACCCTTCCGCCAAGCAAACTCAACCCTCGATGTTAACGTCAAATCTCTTACGCCCGAAGCTGTGTCTTTCCCTAATTCCTATGCTTCAAGATCGCAATCCCTGACACCAATGCCGCTGCCTGAATCACAGAGTCCAACTCCACCCCTAGCTGCAAAAACCCCAGACTCGGCTTCCAACATCCTGTAGAGCTACATATATAGCTCACAGATCTCCCAGTCCATCTATAAACGGCTCCCTGAAACCATCGGACCAAACATCTCAATCGCAAAGTGTCTGCCGCCTAGGTTGGACACACATAGATGTAACAATTGTGCATATCAATGAATATACAAACACAGATGTGTTCACAACAAACTTGTATATATATATATATGTATACATATGCGGGGTTCCCATAATTAGGGGTACCTGTTTTGCGGGCGCCCTTGCGATGCGGGGTCTATACTGGGGTTTCGCGATTGATGGAAGCTACATCATTACCATCTATCTGTATATATGTATATATGTGTATGTAAACACATGATCTTCTGCCATGTTGCGGTTTGATTTGTTATCCGCAAGTATACTGTAGAGGCCTGAGGAATTGCCAATACGACTTTCAGGTCTATTGAAAATACCATAAACCCCTAAACCCTAAACCCTAAACCTTGACGCTGTACTACACCATAATTACATAAGGAATCTGAGACTATATTAGAATTTAGGGTTAGTCATATTGGCAAGTACAACCCCTGTAACTACCATACAGCCCTTCCACACTTAATTCTCCGCTATTGGGATATTCCGAAGCCCTATACACATACCATTTCTACTGAAGCCTAGACCCTAAACCCTCTGCATTGCCCCCTATTCTTTTAATCGTCTGGCTCTTGGAAATGCAGATAACAAAATTACGACCTGTTTTCGGAGAACGGCCTGAACCCCCAACCCTTAAACCCTGTACCCTACTGCCTAAACCCTAAGCCCGGAACCCTAAACCCCAATTTTGTGGTTATATAAAGGCTTTTACATTACCTACCCTTAACCCTAAAGCCCAGGGATCTCCCAGATGCTGAACACCAGAGTAGATTTCCAGCGGGCCCCCAGATCGGACAAACCCTGTAAGAAGGATAATTATGAGGGTTTGGGGCTTCTGATTTTTTATCGGTTTAAGGTTTAGGGAACCGAGAGATTATTTAAACACTGTCTTTTAACCCTAAACCTTAAACCCTAAACCCATGGTTACTTAGAGGGTCTGTCCCATCTCGGGGGTCCCTTGGGGATCTACTTGAGACGCCTCCCGAGCTGGTGCGCCCGTGGGCCAAGCACAAGGGCTTCCACCCAAAGAGCAGAAGCCATCTGCCTGGCTGGGTTTAGGGCTTACCTAGACCCTCCAATGTAGTTCCTTTTGGGGTTTGGTATGGTCTTTGGGGTAGGACTCTTATTAGGACTACCAAAAAAGTACTACATTGGAGGGTCTAGGTAGGGTTTGGAGTTTAGGGCTTAGGGCCTGGGATTTAGGATCTGCGGTTTGGGGTTTGAGGTTCAAGGGTTTTGCACCGAGGTCCATCAGCCTATGGATTTCCAGTAATTGTGGTTTCTAGGTAGGGGATGGGGACCAATTAAGGCTTTTGATGCCACATCCTCCTTTCACAAAACCTGAAATTTCAACCTGGCATTTCGCCCCTTGAGACATGCCCACCTGCAGGTGGCAATCCCAAACGGGATTGGGGCCATCCGAGTCCTTGGCGCAGGCGACCGGCTCCTTCTGCTCTCCACACCTTCGCAACATCAGGCGTTGAAAGGCTTAGGGCTTACCCTCCCGGAAACTAACATGGAAACCCAAAAAGGGCCCTATAAAGACTACAGTCCTTTTAAAGGGGGGCTATATGGGTTTCCATGTTAGTTTGGGGGAGTGTAGGGTTTGGTAGGGTGTCATTTAACCCTCCTGAACCCAGCATTAGATGTCTGCCTGACTGCTGTGACCATAAGCTCTCTAGACCCTGAATCCCCAACCCTAGTAATAGTAATAGTGGTAGTAATAGTAATAGTAATAGTAATAGTAATAGTAATAGTAATAGTAATAATAGGTTTCCTTAGGTTTCCAAGATAATTTCGACGAATGTCATGTGATCGCTGGAGTCAGTACGTAGGGATTACAATGCATCAGACGGGCGAAGGGTTCTCCCGAGGCCCAGGGGTCCCCCCAATATCAAACACCCCCACCACGACATAGAAATGTTCCCCAATATAGGTAGAGAAAGAAATAAACAGGGAGAGAGAGAGAGAGAAAGCTGTATATGCGACTGATATGTAATTGACATATGTATATATACACATACATGTTCGCTCTTGGTGGAAACGCCGTATTCAAGAAACTTCCTACAAAACCTTGCTCCAACTTACTGGTGCTGAAGGGATAGTGGGGGAGTGGACCCCTGCCATAATCCTTATACTACGCTCCTAACGGTTCCATGTGGTACCTATATTCACTCCCCCACCCCAAACCCTGAAGCCTAAATCCTATATTCACTCCCCCTTAACTACGTGGCACTTAGGACCCCTACTAAGGGTTAACCCTTAGGCACCTATAATAGGAATATAAGGGAATCCCAAAGGGTTAAGGGTCGAAGGTCCAAGCTAAGTCCCAAGGAGTTAAGCACCAGTAGGCCAAGTGCAGCCTTGGGGCCACGAAGCACGAGCCAGGTGGAAGTTCGGCTTCTCCGCACAGCTGGGCAGCCTGGGCTAGCCAAGGATTTAGGATTTGGGTGGTTCTATGGGCCTTATATAGGGTTCCCTTCAATGGGTCATGGGATATATACAGGGTTTGGGGCAGCTGAGGATTTAGGATTTGGGGTGTGGAGCTCAACAACTTGTTTCAGCACCGCTGCATGCTGGTCCTAAACCCTACAACCTAAACACCGCCCCCTATACATATAGGAAACGGTACATATGTACACATAACACACTGTAGCTGAACATCGTAGTCTATCTATCTATACATACATGCATACATACATGCATGCATGCATACATACATACATACATGTTTTCCCTTAAATATAGTCCCTTCTATAATCCCTATAATATGTGTATATATATATACATACATACATGCCTTGCCCTGCAGCCAAGCAGCTCAGTGAGGCCCCGCCCGGATCCTCGGAGCATTGGCACCGAGCTCTCCGCGGTGGCGAGCAGAAGCTGCAGTGCGGTGCAGCCTGGGGGCTTACGATTTAGGGTTTAGGGTTTTAGGGTTTAGGGGTTTAGGGGCTTAGGGTTTAGGGTTTTAGGGTTTAGGGTTTAGGATATAGTCCCCCTGAAGCAGGTGGAATATGGGGGTTATATAGGGAT